TGTTGAATCTATAAAGGGTACTTGCGCGCATTGAACTAACATTCATTTGTGTGTCTGGCGTTGACTGAGGTAAACCAGAAATATACGTATCCACTCTAAACTGAGAAGTCGTGTTTTACTTACAAACCCCGGCCATAAGAACAAAATCTTCTCGTTGAAGGTTTGTCTTAGAGAATTTACATTCACTAGATTAATTGACTCTGTAGAAAAGACGTTTTCTTCAGATCAAAAGTGTCTTAAGATAAAATTCTTACGGAATTAGGACAACACCATATTAATATCCGTGCTAAACAACTTTTCGGATATTCCTGAGACGACTCTTTTCACTGGGGAACGTGCAAACATTACCTTGACGGTTGTGGAAAGAAAAGCTGTTCTGGGTGCCAAATTTTCTACGGAAGTGCTTTCAAAATGGGCTGTTGGATTAATCAGCGGTCTGAGTTTAACGGTTTTCGGACTGGCGTTTGGGTGGCTGGCTCACTGCTTAAGGAAGAAGGTACTTATTACTTTTTTCTTAGCACTGCTTTTTGATGTTAAAACACGTTCTTCGCATGTTGTCTGTCTTTTAACAATTTTTTCCAACTACTAACAGTATTGCCCAAAACCCCGTAAAAATCAGACAAAAACCAAAGTTGAAGAGATTGAGATGACTGATTCAACTCCTAAACCGTTTGTTGTGCGCGAGTCTACAGTAAATGAAATCTCTGATGGTTTTGCAACCGTGAGGTCGCGCATCCCACGCATGACAACCTTTAAACCAAGTAAGACTTAGCTGGATATGAAACCCTGTTTTTGCATGACTGCATGTTTTCCTTGGGTGTTTCCTTTTGTCTTTTGTCTCCAGCCTTGGTTGCAGCCATTCCTGAGGTTGGTGGAGGAGGCCAGGAGGGTGTTGACGCCGCCGGTGACACCTGCGTTGTCCGCTTTACCACCGCCATCATTGGCTGAAGTGGTTTCTGATCTTCTGTCCTTGGATCTTGCTCCGTCGGCTCTTCCACTTCCCATTCCAGCTGTTGTTCCTGTTATGGAAGAAGCTCAAGACTCCTCGGTGAATGTTAGCTCTGATGACTTTGTTTTGGTCGCAGAAGAGTAGGCGTGTAACCGTTAGGAGGAATTAAAATAAAAAAGAGCTTTGTACAGAAAGAAATTCTGTTTACCTTTACTCTTTTTCAGCTGGTACTCAGGGAAAGAATTCCGGTGGAAGGGTTCATGCGGATTCTGGGATACTTTGGTGCGGGTC